ATTTTTATTAGGTGCATCTCACTAAAATGTACACACACTCAAAATTTCAGATCATTTTGATTAGTAAAAAAAAAGGAAAATTCAAACACGACTGGACAACTGTGACTGTACAATGAAGTTTGGATGGTGATGAGGATAATCAAAATCACTATTCATTTTCGCCTATAAGAGTTGGGAAGAGTTTTCTATAGCAGGTATTAGCCCATTAGCTCATATAAACATATAAGCCCAATGGCACAGATTGAATATGGGCCGATCTGACGATCACGACCTCATTTTGTATTTGAATTTTAATATTTTTTTTTTACAAATCCAAATCACTTGAAATTTTAGGCGTATGTTATTCTCATCAAGGTACACCTAATAAAAATATATAAAAAAATATTCAGAAAAAAATAAATAATCAAAATACCTCTGAAATATTTTAGGGGTATTTTGATCAATTTATTTTATGTAAAATATTTTTTTGATATTTTTCGAAGAGTCAACTATTTTTTATGAACACACCCCTAAAATTTAAAGTGATTTGAATTTATATAAAAAAAAATTAAAATTAAAATACTATTGAACATCCATGATCGTCAGATCGGCCCAGATTCGATCTGGATCGTTGAGCTCATATATTCATATTAACTAGTGGGCTAATCCCATATTTTATATATATATACATTGGTTTTGAAATTTTAAATTTAATTGGGATTATACATAAACTTTCAAGCTAACAGAGGTAGTCAACACCGAAACTACATCTTCTAGGCAAAATTTGAGAGACGCCTTACGTTAGTACATGCGGGCAACTTATAGAAACCTCACCTTTCCCCTGTTCGAATCGTAAGACGGGTACCGATAACGTGAAGGACCGTTACTCAACAGAAATGACGCTTTTTACTCAACAGAAATGACGCTTTCTCCCTCCATCACTGTCCATACAAGTTAAACAAACGCCGGGACTTCTAGGAGCATTTCAATGGCTTGGTCATATGACTACTAAAGGAACTTTTACAGGGGTAGTTTGGTAATTTTATTACCAACGCCACATTTCAATTCAGTGTCCCAAGTCATGGCTTGGTACGAGTGCTCAGCCCATGCCGAGGTGAGTACTCGGCCCGAGTAAAGACAAGCATTGTAGCAAAAACAAAAAGTTAAAAAAAAATACAAAACAAATCATAACAAACAGAAAAAATATATTTAAAGTAAAATTAAATAAAACATATCTAAATGAGGTTAAAAAATTAACAAAAAATGGAGTTTGAAAAATCAAATTGTGACTATAGGTATTTTAGAAATAATAAACATAAAAAGAAAAAAATGTAAAACGAAGTAGCCATGGCCAAAGCACATTCCAATCTTCGCCAAAATTATAGAAAACATAAGGAAGATATCATAAATAGGATTTTAAGATTTTTTTATAATATCCCCAAGTGGGACACCTAACTTGGGGATGGGAACTTTTTTTTTTTTTTGGTAATTTAGTAAGGATAACGATCTCATACCCGTTTTTGAAATCATTAGTGGTTTTTTAATATAATAGAAATCTAGACCTTAGTTGGGACACAAATGATGCTACTACCATCACGACCCCAACCCCATTCTCGAGTACTCATAACTTGGACTGAGTAATTGAACACTCCTAGTTTCCGAGTGTTTTCGTCAAAGGGAAGTAGCAGAAGATCGTAGGCATTGCACTCTAAGAGAGAGAGGAAGGGATATTTATAGAGAGAGAAAGCAGCAGGAGTCTTGGGTGAGAGAGAGAGAGAGGGAGAGGGAAAGAAGAACAGGTACAGGGAGAAATGGACGTTCCCCAGGACCAAGTCAGTTCTCTTCTTATGCAAGTCTGCTCAAACGCTTTTACGTGATGCGGTTATGAGTGGTTTTATTTGAATTTTAAAGTGTAGCGGAGGTCCTAATAGAGAACGTGATGTGGGGTAAGGATCCTGTCATCCCTTGGAGAACAAGCGAATATATGAGTTTCTCAAGTGTATAATTCCTAGATTTTGATATGTTATACACGGCTAAATCCAGTGGAGGAAAGCACTACTCGGCCCTAGAACTAGCCTCGGGTCGGGCTGAGTAACTGGGGGTCGAGCCAGAGAAACTTAGCCCCAATCGGGCAGGTTTTGGGTACATTAAAAAGTGTTAAAAAATAAAAAATATGAGAAAAAATAAAAAACATGTTTAAAGTAATATTAAACAAAATACATTTAAAATAGGTAAATAAAAAATAAAAAAATAGATTTTGAAAAAAATTAATTTGTAGCCGAGGGTATTTTAGAAATAAAAAAAAAAGTAGGAAAGAATGTGAAAAGTAAGTGTACATAGCAAACACTTCCCAATCTTTGCCAAAATGATAAAAAACATAAAAAAAACATATTATCAATAAATTTATTTTTTTAAAACACAGAATAATTTTTTAAAAATATTTATATTTTTTATTTTCATTTTTTTAAGATCTCAAGCTTGACCACTAAAACCCGGGATACTTAGCTCGCCACCCTGACAAACCAGAGTTACTTGGGTGACTCCGGGTTGGCTCGCCCGAGTAGTCGAACAATGGCTAAATCACTTTATCCGTTTTCTGAAATGGTGTATGGAAATGTATTGAATGGCCATCGTGATATTGTACAAAAATTTATGAATTTTGAAGGTTGAACTCGTATTAGAATCCTTTTTTTTTTTTAATAGTTCCTAGCTGGAATTTAGTAAGAATCCTCAATTTCATTTTTAAAAGACCCCCAAAACTTGGACTTACTTAGAGGTGCGAAGTGATGATTAACCTTACTTAACCATTCAAGTTTTATTGTTTTAATGATCTCTCCTGTGTGTCCTCAGATAACCACGTATGCAATCTCTTTCTATCAATCATTTAACTTAGGTTACTGTTGATCATCTACCTTAGGCAACTGTCGATTCTTATTGTCATGTTGGAGTAATAAGTAAAAGTTAGTTTGTTTTTTTTTCTTTTTCCTTTTTGTTATTTTTTTGGGTTTTTAAGCAATTTGCCATTTCCGATATGAATTAAAAAGAACGAAATAACCTACAGACTCTATTTAGTGGAAATTGAAACAATCAATTCAGATAAAGCACTTAGACAGTTGAACCAGAACAATTCAGATAAAATACATCTGTTTAGAAAAAGAGCAGTTGGACACATAACCATGCACAGAGTGAAAGAGGACGGCCATGTCTAGCCTTCCAGGATAAAACATTCTCGACCAAATCGTACTGTATCATCTTGTTCCTTTGAGCATTAAGACCGAGCGAGGAATGATAGACTCCTTTCATGATGTCCAAGCACAACATATCCTCTGAAGGCTGCGAAAACAAGAATCCCCCCTCTACTCTCCAATACCCTCCCTTAAAATGGAAGGTGAATTGTGGAAGATCGAGCAGACTGTCGTTCTCTTCTTCAATTGCATAACATAGATCACGTCTATAGTCAGGACCAGGAACCACAGGGAGTTTAAACCTCTGGGTTAGGGTTTGCTCCAATAAGGAGAATATTTTTGCACTCAAATGAGTAAAAGGAAAACTTGAATAGGTAAAAAATCTTTCAGTATCTTCTACCTTTGGATCACATAAACCATTGGGAATCCCGATCTTGATAGAATCGATACTAATTTCCACTAAATGAAGCCTGTACGCATGATTATTCCCATTAATGCGGTCTAAAAATATATCTATAGATTGATAATACATGTACACTGCATCTGAATTGCTCCCACCCACCTCTGGTTCCTCGCCTAAGGCAATAAGCGAATTTCCGCTCAAACAACCTAGGCGGTTCCTCCAATTCAGATAACTCAGCTAATTGAGAAATGAGTGACATAGGCCCACCCCCTAAACCTATCATTCCCGATGCTACCCCGAGGCTAACATTATAAGCACACCCAAATGCGATATTTTGAACTTTAATTTCTGTTTCATCAGCAAAGCTCAAATCTTTATATTGAACCTTGAAATCACACTTATTGATGCACCTTGGAGTTGATGGTGTTGTAACAGAATAGCACAGGTCCTCTATGGAATCCATACCCCTATAGGAAGAAGATTGTGATGGTTTAAACTTTGGGGAAGCCCAATCCTTGGGGGTGGTGCAATCTAACCACATTATATCGCTTCCTATGTCTATGTTCAACCAAAGCTCATTCTTGGGCTCCCCTACCCCCAACTTCAATTGGAATAAAAAATAATCATATTCTAATGGAATCTTCCCCCGCTCTGAATATCGACCCTCCACCTCAATCATCCGTTTTATTCTATCAGCATCAGTTTCATGTGGATTATAAAATGGGCTCTTAGGGGAATCACAATGAACGAGTTCTACTCGAATTCCCAACTTCCCTTCCAGTAGCAGGGAAGATGAGCCCATGAACAAGATGACTGGTAGAACTGACCAAGGACTGGAAAACTTCGCCATTTCTCTCTACCAATGTAATATTAAGGTTAGGAAAAGTAGGGTAGGTTATGAGGAAAAAGGGGATTTGGGTATTCAATTGAAACACCAGCTTTGAGGTTGAATGTCTCTTGCAGCCAGAAAAGAACAGGTAAGGGGTGTTGTGGGAAAAGCTCAGTTCACTTTTAGATGAGCAGAAGGTAGCTCACATGTAATTGATGACGGGGTCACAATCACACACAATATGGGTATTTTGCTCATACTTCATGGATGGCAAGGTCACACATGAAGGGTCAGTGTTGACTGTACCGGTGACCAAACCAGTGAGGCCACCGGTGGTCCAATTTGATCGTCTGAACCAGTTCACCCGTCACCACAAAATTAAATAATTAATAGAAGAAAAAAGTTTATATAAGGATGCAACTTTATAATGTAGAACTACGAATGCACCTCAAAAATCCATCGGAAAAAGTAATTTTAATATTAAAAAACCTTTTGATTGATCATCTCGATATTGAGATGTATGACCATGAAAAATAAAAAGATTTTAAGTCTCAAAAATAGTGCATTTTACAACATATTATCCGCACCGTCAATTTTCAAGATTTTCATATGTTTATAGATTTACTTGATTTTAACCATTTTTT